GGTGCCTGTGGAGCTCTGAACCCCAAGCTCTGCCTGCAGAGCTCTCATCTGAGTACCCAAACCCAAACCTGCAGCTCTGTGGCACTGGCAGCTCTGCTCAGTGCAGGAGAAGTTTTTCTCTCTCTGTTCCCCACTCCCCATCACCCATTGGTAAAACCCAGGCTCTCCTCTGCTGCCTGGGCCCAGATTTCTGCTCTGGGGCTGCTCCCAGCTCGGTGGGCACCTTTCCTAGAGCAGTGCCAGGCACAGCCTCGTCAGGAGCCCGCTGCTGAACTGGATGCTCTTGTTTTTACAGCCAATTTCAACCCACGGTCATGGGAATTTTCCTCCTTCCAAGCGACCGAGGAAACACTTGGTACGGGTAATTCTGCCTGCAGCCTGAGAGGATCTAACCCCCCGTGCCACAGCTTCCTGCCTCACTAACCCACCTCTCCTGCTGCCCTCTCAGCTGCCCTGGCACCTACAAACCCCAGAGCCAGCTCCTGCTGGGCTATCACACACTGCCCAGCCAGGGAAAGGCGCCCCTGGTTCTGCTTGGTCACAGAAAAATGAGGTGCAAAACTCCCTTTTTGTGTGTGTTTGTAAAGGAGGCAGTTTGTAAAGATCCCCAGAAGACTCAGAGCACCCTGAGGAGGTGGTGGCAGAAGCAGGAGGAGACTCCAAGTACTCCCAGCCAGTCTCAGAAGCACGAGGTGCTTCTTTCTATCACACCTTTTATTAATAAAAGGTGTTAATACCTCTTAAGTATCCTTATTCTCTAAAGAGGATATTCCTAACTGGACATTAAAATCCCCATTTTTTTTTGCCTGAATTTCATGGTTATTCCTTCACTGATGGGGGGACATTAAAACTCCCATTTTTTTCCTGAATTCTTTCAGTGATGGGGGGATATTCCCAACTGGACACTAAAACCTTCTTTTTTACCTGAATTCCATGGCTATTCCTTCACTGATGGGGAAATATTAAAACCCTCATTTTTTTCCCTGAATTCAGTGGTTATTCCTTCAATGATGAGGGGATATTCCCAGCCAGGCTGGAGATTAAAACCCCCATTTTTTTCCTGAATTCTGTGGTTATTTCTTCACTGATGGGGGGGATATTAAAATACCCATTTTTTTCCCGAATCCCATGGTTATTCCTTCAGCAATAGGGGAATATTAAACCGCCATTTTTTTTTCCTGAATCCCGTGGTTATTCCTTCAGCGATGGGGGAATATTAAACCGCCATTTTTTTTTTTTTCCTGAATTCAGTGGTTATTCCTTCAATAACAGGGGGATATTCCCAACTGGAGTATCCTGTGTTCTCAAGGACACAGCCTGGCCCACGTTCATGCCTTTTCTTCTCAGATCCCCATCTTCCTTCCCCAACATTTCCCTCCTTTGCTTTGTTCCTACAAGGTCCTACAAGGTCCTACAAGGTCCTACAAGGTCCATCCTTTGCTGCTCCCTGGAATCAGCCAGGGCCAGCCTGCCTGGGGAGCTCTGGTGACTCAGAGCCACACCCGAGCCAGGGCTGGCTCCCTCTCATCTCGCTGCTCTCAGGAGGGCAGCAGGGGAAGCTTTGATGGTTTTTGGAGGAAGCCTGCAGTGCTGGGAGGAAGGGCAGTGCTGGAGTCATCCCTCCTGCCCCAGGGAGCTGCTCTGCAGCCACGCCTGCACTCTGGGGCTCTCAGGAGCAAGGCTGGGCCCTGCCTGGAGGCTGGCATCACCTCACACCCACACAGAGCTCACAGGGGTCCCAGGGCCAGGGAAGAGATGAGGATCTGACTCCATGGTTCAGAAGGCTTGATATATTATTTTATATATAAATATATATTTATGTATTTTATATATTTTTATATATTTTATATATTATACATATTTATATATTTAATATCTATTTATATATTTAATATATTTATATATATTTTTATATATCTATTTATATATATATTTATTATATTATGTTAAAACGATACTAAAAGAATAGAAGAAAAGATTTCATCAGAAGGCAGCTAAGAATAGAAAAGGAATGAAATGGCTCTCGGACAGAGAGTCCGAGCCAGCTGACTGTGATTGGCCATTAATTAGAAACAATCACATGAGACCAATCCCAGATGCACCTGTTGCATTCCACAGCAGCAGATAATCAATGTTTGCATTTTTTTCCTGAGGCCTCCCAGCTTCTCAGGAGGAAAAATCCTAAAGAAAGGATTTTTCAGAGAATATCATGGCTACACAGAGCTGCCTGCCCTCACCTGCCTCTGTCCCTGAGAGGAAAAAGGGACAAGAGGCACAAGGGACTCGTGGCAGTGTCACAGGGGTGTTTGGAGCTGCCCCCTGCAGCCCTGGAATAACAAAAACCTCTTTATCTTCCAGTAGGCAATGGCACTAAGCTGCCTTTTCAGTTCTCCTCGGTGGGACAGAATCCGCCCGGTGACTTCAGCAAACAGTCTGATGGGAGCCTCTTCACTAAGACCGGTACTAGGAACTGACTGTCCCCCCTCCTCCTGTCCCCTTTGGGGTGCCAAACCCCCCTAAAATGCCTTCCTGCCCCATTTGAGGTCCCAAACTCCTCTAAAATTCCTTCCTGCCCCATTTGGGGTCTCAAACCCCCTCATCCTGCTCTGCCTTCCTCCCACCCCTTTGAGGTGCCAAACCCCCCTAATCTGCCTTCCTGGTAATAAGAGGTATTAATACCTCTTGGGTACCCTTATCCTCTAAGGAGGATACTCCCAACTGGAAATGAAAACCCCCATTTTTTTTCCTGAATTCCATGGTTATTCCTTCAGTGATGGAGGACATTAAAATCCCCATTTTTGTCCTGAATTCCGTGGTTATTCCTTCAGTGATGGAGGACATTAAAATCCCC